TGACCGGGATAATGCCCCGTACAGGAATCTTTGTGGCGATGGAGATACCGCGTAAGGTTCGGACACTTCCAACGGATTGTGAAAAACATGTGAGCAGCATCGATTCGGAAGACGGTGATCCTTACTCTCTCTCTAGTCGGCATCATCACCCCTCCCCCGTAGGTGTTAGAAACGATTTACTCCTTCCAGGTGTCAGCAATTAATTCCGAGGCGTGACTTTCCTCGGTCAGAGATGTGATTCGAAGACATTGGCCTTCTCGCCGTTTATGGATAAAACTGGCCGATTTAGCGAACTCATCCAACCACGACACCACAGTACAAAGGCCATCAAGACTTTACATTAATAAGTTCATATTGTCAGCGCAGTCGAGGTCAGTCGGCGTTCTGGTGCATGTTCGACATTACCGAGATCGCAAGCAGTCGCTCAGAGTAAACAATCAATGACGTACTCAAACGATCGTCGAACGCCAGACAGAATACCGCACAGGCGGGTGAAACTGTTATAGATCAGAAATCGGGTAGTGGTTGGCCGATAGCAAGCCCTTGTCAGAAAGATAATTTTCACTGGCGCATAGTTCTATCACGGAGACTCATGATGGGCGGAACCAACCGGTGTGACGAAATCCACAAGACGGTCGTTGGTTGCTACTAGTCATGATGGAATTGAATGCGCCGTAGTAGCCGTAGTAGCCGGTCGGTGCAGCCACGTAGCTCATAACTCGACTGGGTCTCGTTAACCAGTCAAGCATTCTGAAACTGCTGAAAAATGACAATAACAGACTTCTGCGGTAGTAGCAATTGGGCTCATGCATATTCAGAGTAAGGAGGACATTGTCTCCCGAATCGATGCTGCCCGCTGGGTTTTCTCAAGCCTTTGGAAATGCCTATGGATCCGACGCGACCTCTTCATCACCACTAAGATTCGCGTGTACCGTGCATCTGTCCGGTCTGTCCCTCTCTATCGTTGTGAATGCTGGGCTTTGCGCGTGGAGGACGAGCGAAAACTGGAGGTATTTGACCACCACCGCCTGCGGACCATCCTTCGAGTGAAGTTCACCGACTTCGTCTCAAATGAGACAGTCCGCGCTCGCTGCGACAACATCGCAAGGATAACTCAGGCCATCCAAGAAAGACGACTGAAGTGGTTCGGGCATGTTCTTCGTCGTCCACCTCAGGAGCTCAGTGTCACTGCCCTCGATCCCGCACCGTTGCCCTATTGAAGGCGTCGAAGAGGGGGTCAGTTCAAAACCTGGCTCGACACAGTTCGTCAAGACATGGAGGTGGTTCTTGGACCTTCGGTATTCGGTCTCCGTCGTTGGCGAAGGGAATGGGTTGAGCTGTCCAGATCTGCTGCCGCGGATCGTCACGCGTGGAGAGGTACAGATCGGTACATCATCGAGGCCGGCTAGATCAGGCATGATCGCAGCTGTATCAAGTCACGCATATCAATCTTGTCTCCCCTTTTAGACGGACACAAGGATGGTCGAGTCCCAATCCTCCGGATCGAGGTCATTTCCCCACGCTTGCTCGTCACCTCAGGCAAGAAGAGCGACAGTGCCCACACAAGACCTTTAAACTTGGGCAGGAATACCGTGCTCTCCCAGCATCTTGTCAAACCGCGTTGCATCGCCGATTTCTTTCTGAGAGGGGGATCACATTACACTGTGTAGACTAAAGGAGACAAACGTCTGCTGCAGGGGGGGGGTGATTGGTTAGTCACTGAATTTCAAAGGGAGTTCTAAATGCCCACTTTAGCTCTCCACCTTGGCCGAGTTATTAGCAATCGAGATTATATCGTCTACATATCTGTATGGAGTTTTACTGTTCAATCTTCACGAAACCTTTTCTTCTACGTGATCCATAAAAGTGTCGGCAAACGTGGGACTGTTTGAACCTCCCATTGCTACTCAGTCAGTTTGCAGTTTTGTCCATTAAACAAGAATCTGATATCATTTCGTGCATAGTTTCAACAATTCGCGTGGTATTTCGGGTGACAGACGAGTTTTCGACGCATGAGCGAATTCGACACCTAGTGTTTGATCAAGCAGAACATTTTTCAATAAGGATTATACATCTAAGGTGATCATACGTTTGCTGGAAATGGTTTATTAACTTTGATAAATAAAACTTGAACTGTCCTTTGGCGCGTAAGCAGAAAGCCCATATCGAATCAGTTTTAATTTTTTAACAAACCCATCCTAGTCTGTATTGAAATGAATTAAACATTGACAGAATCGGCCGCAGTGGTATGTCCTCTTTACGAGATCGTTGCAAACCATGCAGCCTGGAAATATGTGTACCTCTGGGCGTTAGGGATGACGCAGTTTTAACATCAATTACATTTTAGTCAAGCCGTATTTCAAACAATTTTCCCGACGGAGTCTTCGGAAATACAGAAACAGTAACGAACAGCTAGTTGAGCTTTATAGGATCGTGCGTTGAGATAAATTGTGTCCTATTGCGAAAAAGCTCGACCGTCTTACAGTCGAAAACAGATTATTCAATTCAAGCTGTTGGATGCATAACATCGTGCTTGAATCAGGCGAGACGTGTTCTCGATACGTTCCTTTTGTTAGTCGACGTCAATGAAACACACGCCTACCATGCAAAATAAGACAAAAGAGTAACGTTGGTCTAAATTAGGGGAGTTCGTAAGCAAGAAACCTGCGGCTGTTTTTTCCTTGAGCTCAGATGAACATATTCTCAGTATATTCAACAGTAAACTTGATGTGTTGCAAGCAGAGGCTCTATCATCGGACCTGACTTGTTTGCCAAATAGACTAAACCCAGAATATTATTATCAACAAAGACAAGGGAGACTGGAATGGCCACTTCTGGCTTACTAACCGTCAGTCAGTCATACCCAACCTTGAAGCGTGGAACACCTGGGGCTCGAACTCGCGACCTGTTAGAATTTCATGCGCCGCTGTGCGGCTGCTGGTTGGGCTCTATAGAGAGCCCGTAAGGCACAACGGAACGAGTGAGTTCCGGAAGAACGATCGGTGATCGCCCCATGTCAGACTAGACCCAGTTAAAATCGGTGTCCAATTCGAAGACTTCAATTCTCAACTATTTGACCTAATACCTAGGTCCATTAACGTGGATTAGGCGAAAGCAAAATTTGTCGACACTCCTCAGTAATGCCGCAGAGCCCAAATAAATCAATCGTAATCAATAACTAGTGAACACATGTATGCTCTATCCGTACCGAAACATGAATAAGCCATGAATTCTAAGCCTGACAAAGGTAACGGGTAGTCATCCGTAACTGGAAGAACCATGTAGCGAAAATGGAATACGTTTTAAATTCCCCGACTAAACTTAATCCAGAAACGCCACGAAGGGCGAAAACAAGGCCTTGGAAGACTCCGTCTGGAAAATTACTTAAAAAGCTGCTTGGAGAAAGTGTAATTCGTATTAAAACTGTGGCATCTCTAAAACGTAGAGGTACACATATTTCCAGACTACATGGTTTAGCAAACTCGTAAAACGGACATACCACTACGACCCATCCTGTGAATTTTTAATTCACCTCAATAGAGACTAAGGCGGGTTTGTCAGAGAATTAGAACCAACTCGATATGGCTTTCTGCTTACACGCTAAAAAGATGTCCAATTCTTGTTTAATGGGCAATTATACAAACCGACCGAGTAGGAATGGAGAGTTCGCCCGGTCTAACTTTTGCCGACATTTTTATGGAGCACGTAGGAGAAAAGGTTTTATGAAGATTAATCAGTAAAACACTACACAGATAAGTAGACGATACAATCTCGATTGTTGATAATTATGAAGACGGTGGGGACCTACTTGATTAGTAGCCTGCGTCCCATGACTAAATTTACAACGTAGAGGGAACCTAGTAATGGGCTGCCTTTTCTTGACGTCTTTGTGCATAGACAGGAAGACATGCAATCAGTTTTCTACATGAATACGTGGAAAGGCCAGTATCTACATATCTGGAGTTTTGTGCGAATAAATCAACTGAGCAACCTCGCCTACACTCTCTTCCAAAAAGCGAGGAAATTTGTTCTATCGTAACACTGAACGCAGAACTTGCTTGTCTCAGGACAGCTCTGGTTAAACATGGCTAGCCAGCCCGTTTCATTCAAACGTATACGAGTCCTTTGGGGGGAAAATTGACGGAATAGTCAGTTCCAAAACAGTCCGTTGCAATATCTCTCCCCTTCAAGGATGACAATAGTTCAACTATAATCAGGCGAAGATTGCTGTGCACAATTGAAAGGACGTACAATGCGGCCGGACTTATATTCAGCGGTCCCAGTAATACTGTCGATTGAAGGGATAGACGATGTATAGCCATTGAACGCCACGTGGAATTGTATTTATGAATTTACATGCACTTGTGGGTGCAAGTACATTGAACGGACGCAAAGGCAACTGACGGCCAGGTCTGTTGAGCACTTGCCTAAATGACTTTAATTCAGGAAGAGAAATCTCCTGTTTTTTTCATTACTGGACACCTCCCTGATAGTGGTCACTCCGTCCACCCCAAAACAGTCCTTCGAGTGCATGTTCGGGCATGAACAACTCAAATATCGCGCTACCTAGAAGCAGCCTGTATGCGAAAGGACAAACCTGAACTATGCACAGTTAGACCACGCGATCAACCTGAACTTGCCCTGGTAATCTCCGGTCCTTCGATTTACCCCCCCCCCCGTGCACTAGCTTCCCCTTCTCCCGACTGTATCGTGTTTTTTTTGCATAACCCATTCCATTAATTTGACTGTGCAGAACTGTGACATTGCTGGTTTCGCGTTGATCTTCTGAGCCAATACAGCTTGTTGTATACTCCTTATTCGTTACGCATGTTATGCAGCGACAGGCAGCAGTTGGTAAGCTGTCGCGAAATTTATTGATACCACTAAATTCTGCTGTTTACGCTCTTCTTAAAGTTTTTCTAGCATCACCGGCGTTTGGGGAGTGCTTTACAGAGGGCGCTACTTCGGCCCAATATGTTTTGCGAACTTGGCCATCGTTTTCTAGGGTTGGTGGAAAGAACCGACTTTGCGCGGCCAAGCTCGAGCCGTCTAGGCAGACAACTACAAGGTCTTTCCGCTGATTCAGTCTCGCGGACGGGGGACTTCAATGGTGAATATTTGTTACTACCTTCTCCTTCTATTTGGGTTGCAAAGCAAAACCGGGTTTCTGTGCTCATCGTCTCGGCTTTTTTAGCTTGTCGCAGTTTTGCGGCATCTGCGTTTTGTACGTGACAAATAGGGTGCGAATGAAAGGAGGATTTTCAGGTAACTGTAAGCAATAACAAAGTCTGACCAATATGCATAATCAGTTCCGGCAACACATATTGACCTGCTATCATGAATCCAGCTAAGAAACCCTGAACTGACTAGAATCTAGTCACTTTGGCTGGTCGAACGGCCATCGTTTGAGTACCAGATCAGAAGACGCTTGCGGCGGTGCTTGAAACACGTGTTGGTGACAACTAGCTGGTTTTGGTCATCGAAGTTCATTCGCTCAACATTGTCGCATCGAGAGCCAGGTCAAAACGGCCAAGAAGGTGACAGTCTGAAGTCGTAGGGTCCAGCCCAGCCATCCCGACCTCCGATAAAAATCAGCAGATCACGGCGAGGAATTATTTCAACCAAGTATCGCAGCTGCGGGTAGGTTTTTTTATAATGCTGGTCGGCAGCTGATGTCGATGCATGCACGGAGACGACAGAGATGTTAGTAAAATGGCCCTTCAGTCGTACGCAGTAAACCAGCCAGTCAATGAGTAGTTGCCACGTAAGCACTGTATGGTTCGTTTGCTGCGAGAGGGCGATCGCCACATCGTGTATACCAGAAATGCACCATGGGCTGTTGCGATACAGGACGAAGTGGGAGATGAACCCAAGAATCGTGGTTTCTCGCGAACCTTGGCCTGAGGACAGGACTTCAAACAGGCAGCAAACATCCACGTTGTACCGGTGAAAACTAAGGGCCGTGAGACCTTTGGGTATCAGGGCCCAGAAAGATTCATACACCCCAGCAACCGATATAAAATTCCCGATTCAATAGTCCGGCTCACATACTTTCCAGTCGTAGCACTGGACCAAGGTTGCGGGGCACCATGAGTTTTGGACGCTATCGCATGGATCACAATACCTTTCTCACGAAATTTCTCGGGAATCTTCATTGCAGCGGCGTCCCTAACATCCACTCACATTGTTTGTTGGAATTTGCCTCTTCCTAGCGCTTTGGCTCAAAAAGGCAACGATGGAAAACAAACTTCTAAGGGTGGTTTACGGTGGCCATGTCAGTAACGTCACTGGGCTTTGCGGTATCAAAATAAACAGTCGATGTGCCAGACCTCAGCCCTACGCGGATCGGTGGCATCGTGGATCCATGACTGGTCATTCGTCAGACCCGAGAGCCTGTTTATTTAGCAGATAATCCTCGCAGGAGACCGCCTTGCTATCTGTTATCTGTGAACGCGCAGGGTAATCACAGGGTAGGCTAACGGGAACCCATCTTTCCTGAAACCATTAATCACTACGACTTCATCATCGGTACAAGCAATGGGCGTTGTAATGGCTTGGTAGTCTGACCTCCTCGGTACCGTCTAACCACGATCATTTGCGATGACTGGGATTTCCTAATATTAGTAGACATGTGGTTGTGTGCGCACGAATCCTTGCCGTAGAGATCGGGTTGGCACTGGGCGTCTGTTCTTTGAAAGGGTTAAACGTAAGGATAGGACACGTTAGGGTGGATGGGAGGTTCGCCATCAACAACAACTAGGGCATCAGGTGCGCTTGTTTCTGTCTTCTCCAAAGCACAGGTGCCGAAAAAAGCCGGCGACCACGGAGTGCGATCTACGAAATGGTGGATCAAATGGGTTCAGCAACAGCTCAGGCAACTGGCGGTCTTTGGCGTTACCAGCATAACGTTGATTTCAGCAGAAGGCAAGACGCAAAGACACCAGCGCTCACTGCAGAATGGCATATTACCAGTTACCAGGGCAGATTTGCCGACGTCAGCAAACACAGTTACTAACATGTTGCATGCAGAAGTGCAGGTTCTATGGGATTTTTCATCTAAACTGAGCAGCCTTGTCTGTCGACCGAGCGCAGATCTAAACGAAGAGGAGCCAGACCTGTGAAGGGCGATCAAACCAGTTAACATATTTGCGATCAGATTCTCTGCGCGCAGAGCCTTTGAGTTCTAGGGGGGTGGACCAACATTGCTACCGGCCCTGGAAGGGCCTCAACAAAATAGACACAGTGCTAGCCCGTAGTCCTCTGAATTCAGACCAGAGCTCAGTAATGAGCATAATTCTATAATTTTAATTAGGCCTAACTGACGTAAGGATTATTAGATCATTTGGTCAATCACCTCACTCTCCGTGTAAGTTAGGGGGGGTATGAAAAACGACAGCCAAACAGGATCTGGTCCAAGTTGCTTATCGCGTAATATAGGGAAGGTCAGTCTTCAGGTTTACCTCTGCAATTACGGTTCAAACCTTAAGTCTGTGGAGGGCAGCCGTCATGACCGGTGTGACGTCATTGTTCAAGACCTCGCAGCCTCAAGGTCATTCACTCTTTGCAGTGAGCCGTTCCAGACGCGCTGACCTGAAGTCACACGACCGACAGCTAGGGCATACCTGCTTGCGCACAGCCGCAGCTGCCCATGAGGCCACTTGAATGCACTTTAGCGACTGAACCGAACCAGACCAGTTTGTTTTAATAAGCAGAAGAGATAGAAAGTGGAAGACAGAAGTTGACAGGACGGATTTACTCTCTCCTCAGTGGAAGCCTCCAACTCCACCTCCCCTGAACCTTTAAATCAGTGGACCTGTGACGTTTTGGACCTTTTCATAATACATTCAGTTTTCTATCCATTACAGTTAACCTTTCTATTTGCACCTTTCATTGGTTTATCCGTGTGTTGAATTTTACGATTAATAACGAAAATCCTAGCGGGATCATCTTGTACGGGGACGAACCTTTGAGTACTGATTCCATACCAGAGGAATCTACCTTTCCACAGAGCCCTGTGCTCGTGCGCTACAGCACCTCCCTCCTGCAACCGCAACCTAAGCCACCTGGACACCACACCTCGGAAAGGCAACGCACACTGACTGGACACCACTTTAGTTTGGCCCAAGAGCCTATAAAAGCGACTGCCACCACTGTCCCAGGGACTTTAAGGCATGATTTGACGCAGTTAACACCAGCCCTGGCTTCGCCAGTGGCCACTGCTGCCTGAGAGGACATCTCCGGGTTCTGTATGCATTAAACCCCTCATTCTGGTGTCTTCTGTCTTATCTTTCTACAACATGGGGTTTGACCTGGTGGTAGTAGCGCACAGACTACACATTCACACCGTTTGATCACAACAAGTCCACGTCATTATAAGAATTATACAAGCTCGTTAGGCCTGAATCAAGCGCCCCTTCCCTTAGACCTATCTTGGACATTTTAGCCCTAACTCCGGGAAAAGATGGTACTAGAATTTGGAAAATTCCGACTCACCACATTCTTGTCCACAACCACTTCAATGCCCTTTAAGGTCTCCTTATGCTTCTCCAGATCTCTCCGAGAAATGTAATTCCCATGTGCGTGCAAATTGAGTGTCTTGAGGCGGGGGAACCAGGAGATCAGGCCTCCAGGACTTGCTCGGGTCAGTACTGACAGAAATTCCGAAAAAACAGTCACCTTGAGGTCGGTAAGATTAGGATAGACAGTGGGGAATTTCTGTCGGCAGTACCAGGTGTACCAGGAGTCGTTGGTGTGCACCACGTAGCTGTCCCGATCACGCAGAGTTAGACGACTGACGTGGCTAACCAAGTGCATGAACTCGCCCAAGTAACCGCAGTTCATCTGCACATTGGGCACAACGCATATCTCCGCCGAATCAAGAACTGGAGGCGGCAGGACCTCGGTGTCGTCCACTTCCTTCAACCCACCGCCTTCTGTGGGGAAATTGACTTGTGTGAAGGCGGCGGAGAGTTGACGGAGGCAGAAGAAGGGTGAGACTCTGCCATCGGAGGATGGGATGCGGAAGAGTCGGAGCAGATCTTTGAGGGGCATCACCTGCTTGCTGAGATCCAAAGTCACTAGGTTTACCCAACGACACTGTGGGGACTGCGTAATGCTGCAAAGCAGGATGAAGGCCTCATTGTCCCACACACAGGCACTCGACTCGCCCTCTGCGTTTCCCAGTTGGGTCATAAGTCGGAGTATGTTGGTCTGAGATCGTGCCGTCAACATCAGTGGCGTCGGCATCAAGTCCTTCCAACTGGGGAAGACCTGCACACAACTCCATCGGTCCTCGAGAGACAGGTCACGGATGATCAAACGACCCAAAACTGGCTGTCGTAGAACCTCTTCCTGGAGAGAGGGGAGACAACACACTGATCTTAATCTAACAGGGGTTTCATGGACTGACACAAATACACCAGGGAAAGAATTGATGATATTGGTAGGAGTTCGGAGCATTCTTGGGAGAAACGATCTCAAGCGTTAAGCAGCAATGGGTATTAGTAGCAGAGACTGGAAAAATACTCATGCGAAGATGCTCTACTGTTACCATAGGCATGGTTTTAACACCACGTAATCAATTAACACTCGCAAAACAGGTTTCTCGTCAAAGTGGAAAGAACAAACAAAGTCGGTATTCCCTTGTTAAGGTGCAATTTGCGCAGAAGACATACTGGAAAAAGATATCCGTCATTAGGACCTTGCTGAAGATGCATGTGGTTAGATTTCCTCGCTAAAAACCACATAAAATTTGCGACGCAAACGCACATAGCAGGTGATAACTAGATTAGTCAGTTAAGAGGTTCAATGTTCTGGACGTTCTAAAAACTGCCATGTGCCTGTTGCAAACTGGTGATCGATAGCCAGACACAACAGATGAATCGTCTTTCGGGGACTGTTAGCCAGCAAATCACGCGTATAGTGGAGCGGTGCGACAACGAATATGTAGTGTGCCCTGATATTTCACGTGATGGTTGCATGGTGCTGACCTAGCCATCTGTCAAAACTCGTCTCTAATTTGCGTCTACAAGAGTGCGAAGAAAAGTCTATGAATTAAACGTCTTTCCAGATTGCCCCACAGCAGACGCCACAACAAAACGTTTGCATGGGTCAGTGGTAAATTCAGCTCTGTTTTAGGCATAAAATAAGCTCACCGTCAAAGTGGGCTGGGCAGACAGGGTGTTGTGCTAGAATGTGTACGCCGCGCACGGCGCCAGACGACAAATGACAGGACGACGTTTGGCGATTCAGATCAATCTAATCCAATCATTGCACAACGCGCCTGGCGAGTAACTTCCTGTCATCTTACGGGTTTGATCATCGCATGGCGCGCACGCATCCAAAATGGGAGCAGTTCAAGTCAGCCAATCACAGCATCTCATGCATCCCAAGCAGGTGGACGCACGCCTCCCAAACAGACCCGAACTAGCACTCCGGTCAAAAGTGTCTGTGGATTAACATGCGTACACGCTTCCTGACCTCGATGCATCACCCGGCTAACTCAGTCTGTGGAGAATAAACTATTGGGATGATTGTCTTCTTCAGCTCCACAGAAAACAACCGCAATGGCGTGTCATCTGGGATGTAAGTTCGGGGAGGACGTATTCACTGGCTAACGAAGCACTGATGACTGCGGTTGTCTGACTACTGCCGGTGCGCCCGTGGCTGTATGCGCGCCACCCAGCAACGGGGTCCGTCAGCAGTGAGGAAAACATCTGATATAACGTGATCCCCCACCGAGCCAGGAGAGCTGCAGTATCATTAGGCATCCAGAAGTGAACTGATGCCCTAGGACTTCTCCGCTATTGGATGACCGTCTGTCTGTCTGTCTAGGACTGAAAATGTCCAAAAACCAATGCTTCTAACCACAAGGAAACACCAGAGGCGTCGGAATAGATATTTTGGTTAATTCCAACATATACACACGCACACTCCTATCTGTGGTCGCCAACTGTTCGGTCCAAGCTTGGTACAGCTGTGATCATGCATGATCTAGACGGCCTCGGTGCTGTCGCAAATTGCACCGCGCCACGCACGACGGTTTGCCGCAGTTGATCCGGATAACTCGGCCCACTCTTTCCTCCAGCGACGGAGACCAAACAAAGGAGGTTCAAGATCAACCGCCATGCCTTGGCGACCTGTGTCGAGGCAGACTTCCAGTTGATCGGGGCAAAGTCCTCATGAGACGACCGACGAAGGACGTGTCCAAACCATCTCAGCCGTAATTTCTGTGTGGTCTGTAGTTTCCTGGCGATGTTGTTGCAGCGTGTGGGCTGTCTCCTCTGAAAACACGTCAGTGTGCTTCACTCGAAGGATGGCCCTCAGGCAGCGAAGGCCAAACACATCCAGTTTTCACTCATCTTCAACGTACACAGCCCAGCAATTACAGTCGTGTAAAAAGGACTGAGCGGTCAGGAGTCCAGTATACAACTAACCACGCTGCTAGAATGTCGACTTTAGGTTGCGTGGGGTACAGAAATGTGAGAGTTTCGAACTTAATCTGAGAGACACGTAGGGACAGACGGTGACCATTGACAAGGAAATTCATTTTGTTCTTTCTAGCAATACATCCTCATCTTAGCAACCTGGTGAAGGCACAGTCTGACCTTCGGCAGGTCTGATTCCTTACTCACAGAGAAAGTACCAGTTCAAAAGTTAACTGAGAAACTGACTTACCTCAACAGAAACCATGCCTGACCGTGCAAAGAGCCGGCCACTCCTGCACTGGCCTTCTGCCCCACCACCATGCCCGGCTGACATGACTGCCGTGGGCGCAGCGCCAAGTAAATGAACGACGAACGCGATCAGCCCGACGTCAGCTCCAAGCGTCCAATGGCAACGTGATAACCAATCAGACGCCAGTCCAACAGCTGACGTCCCTCCGACGCTCGCTCGTCGCTGTCACACCCACATGTAGGCGCTCGCGTGCAAGAAACGCTTGCGCGCAAGTGCGCACGTGTGCGTCCGTGTGTGCCCGCGCGGTTTGCAGAGGGGAAAAATCGATAGACGCGCATAGCGCCGACGTCAACTGTGCCCACTGATCGCCTCCTAAGCAATGCCCCGCTTGTGAGGCCAACGAGGGCTCACTCAAATAGTAAGATCGACTATGTGCTTTCGTCACCCTTCATTGATCGTCGCTCAGCGTCCCGTAAGATTCTAATTATAACCTTCGAAACTGCTTATAAGCGGTTTGCGGCGGGCGCATTTTAACTCACTCATAGAAATGACTCACCAATTATAGAACAAGAAATGAAACTTGCAGGATACATTTCCATGATTTTCCGCTGTTAGACCATAATCCCTGTGGTGTCTTCAAGCGTCATATCACGGAAACACAGTCTGCTCCCACATATGACAGGTGATTATCTTGGAACGGCTGTGCCGCGCGTTAACTTGGCGCATTACCGAGAGTCGACTGAGGCCGTCAAAGATGCCACGAAAAGGCAACCTTACTTATGTGATTACTTGACAGACTGCGAATTGTAAGTAAATTAGACTGGAAAGCTGAAATACTTAAACCTGCTCACTCCAGACTAGCGCTGGAAGTAGTTTACAATGGTAGCATGGTCGATGACGTCTGTTTGCAGGTGAAAGAAAGTCTGTCCAAGGTAGACCTTAAATGGGATTTGATGAGGTCCTGGCAGCGATTACCGGTCACTCAACTCCACGCTTCTGCCTGCAAGGGGTGTGGACTATAATTTCACGACTAAACCAACTACCAATGTTCAATCCTACCATACATTTTTGGGTAGTGAAGACTACTTCAGTGTGGCTGTATGCTCCTAACTGCAGTCATGGGAGATTGGGCCGACGATTCAACCAGTAGGACATCTGGTTCAATTGCCAGCTGAACCTGACTTTTAATCTTCAGACGACCAGCCGACATCAACAAATGCCTCGGGAACGGCCATTGCATTCTCCCCTGCCTGCATCAGCGATACTTCAAGATGTAGGCTTTATACAAGAATTCTCCCCTAGACGCGGACAGTTCTCTCAAACCAGGATTACTTACAGATTGTCCTTGTAGCCGCAGGCATCTCTCACGTTTTAAAAGAATGACAACCTGCGAAGGCTACAAGGAGTTTTGGATGTCTCGGCTCCTCGAAGTTTCCGCGCCTATTGGATTTGTGGCAACTCGAGCGGGGTGTGTACCACGATCATCAAGCCGAGTCCGAAGTGGCAGGTTATGATGGAAGAATGAGGGTTTTTTTGTGTAGAGGACTCGAAGTTGGTATCAGCAGCTAGGCCATTGCGTGTGTTGGCGATGTTGGCGATGCCCATTCACCGCACCTGTCAACTGACCGGCTCGGACAGTGGCTGGAGCCTGGGAATGGGAAGGAAGAGTGAGGTTGACGACTCAGCGCACTTGCCTCGCTATAAACAATCTGACGCGCTTGAAACTTTCACGGTGCGCTGAAAGTCGTGGCTTGAAGGGTTGCCAACTGACGGGATAACTCGGACCTCGCAGTCAGCCCAGCGTGCGTTCGTGTAGAGTAGCCGACTGGTGGACTCAGGATCAAACTGCAATGCCTCCTTATTAGTGTGGCCTCTATGGCACTCCCACTCAATGGGATTCAAGCCGATGTGGTGGTACACCTAGGGGCGGCTTCGGCCGCGCCAGTCACCTGTGCTCTCTCCCCCTCCGGTCTTCTTGACTCTGTCTTGACACCGGACCCAGATGGTGGAGGAGGAGAAAGTGCGGTAGATGCCGTGCAAGTCTACTATCACTATAAAAGAAATCCCGCATAGTCACGGTGCCTGCTCTCATCCTGCTCTGGAGCTCACGGCGGACATCGCCGGTCATGGCGGTCGAACCAAGGAGGATGGAGTGGGGCTGTGGTGTCGGTTGCTTTTATTTGCGCGTCGGAACTAGGTCGAAACCGTCTGTCTAGGAGGGTTTGTGTTGCATTAGCAGGCAAGCAAGCATTTATGAATTTTCTTTTTAGGTGCTAATATTCACTCGTTCGTTTGGTAAATGACAAGCACATAAAAGTTACTATTATTCAAATGCTCAACAGGAACTTAAATCCCGTTGTTAAATATTCTTACCAAGTTTTCATGAAAAAGGCCGGCGACATGAGAACGATGGGTAAGAAAAGGTGGCCCACTAACCTTAATTGAGGGAGAAGTGAGGCAACAGCCATGGCCAAAAATTTCGTAGGATCAGCTGTCGAGTGGACTTTTGCGGAATCAACACCTCTACTGACCACGTAGTTTTGCCTTATCTTTCTTCTCACCTTCTTTCTCCCTGGTTTCCCATCTTCTTTGCTCTGCATTCTTTTTCATCCAAGTTATGCATGTTAGCTGTTTTCCACGTAAACATACGACTGGTTTTTGTCTACATGCGTTTTAGGAGGCCGATCTTTTTTACGCTAACGTCTACAGTGACTCGTGACCCCCTATTGTCAGCCGAATCTGTGATAAAGGTCGTCGAAGGTTGCGTGTATTTTGTGAACTGGCCATTCTACCAACTGCTTGGCCGCACAACTCGTATAGAAGCCTTTGTATTTTTTCGACCAGCTAGATGGTGCGAACTACAATACGTAGTCATTGACGGACCCCGTGGATTTGTTTTATCAGGTAGACGCCCCCTTCATCTATTCTGTGAGACAGAAGATTCCAGTCCACTTATCGCATGCATAGTTTGTAGTTCTGAAACTACGCTTTTGAAGGCCTGATTGAAAATGGCCCGCGACGTGCTATAACTTATGAGAATAGCTCACTTTTTCGCATCCCAGTTCTATCGGCATGCGTGTGCCTATATATCTATAAGTCATCTTGAGATAGAGCGCAGTTCATTAGGTGTTATCGGGAACACGCACCCCTAACAAATGTCAACATCTGTGGTGTGGTGGCACACTCAGTTGCGCGTTCACGCCACACCAATTGGTCTCCTTGCCGCCCCCCCCCCTGGTCAGTGTCTGTTGTGGACCAGCGAGTGTGATGGTATGCCTAGGTGTGGGTTTCCGCCGTGCCAACCACATGCGCCCTCTACAGCCTTCGGTCTTTTTGGCTCTGTCTTGACACCGGGTCGGGATGGAGAAGGAGGAGAGAGTGCGGTAGATGTTGCGCAAGTCGCCGTCCCTGCATTCACCCTGCTGTGGAACATAGGGCAGAAATTGCCAATAGAATCAAAGAGACGAGTCCCAGAAAGCAGTCTTGAAGAAGGAGACACGACCGTTGAACAAGAGTTTTATTAGCCTGACATTTCTGATTCCTGCTCGAACCCATCATCAGAGACAAAAGCAGATACGGGTGCTTCAGTGCATGAGGGGCTGCAGTATTTATAGGATGCAGTCGCCATGCTACCGCATACCTAGGAACATTCACGGCTCCTCCCTTCATTTTAGATCGTTGCACTTGGTGTGATCATTGCTTGATGGCCGACATTTGAGTCGATAATTGCTGCAATTTCATCACGTGCGTTGGATGTTGATGTGATGATTGCTCGACCATCTGACGCACTGACCCTTGTGTTGGGAAAAGTGTTCACCTGTGCGCTTCCCGCGTGGCCAATTACTCCGCCTAGGCGAAATCCCAGCACCGAGTATGGGATCGGAAGGTAATTGTACTTGCTAACTGACTGGGGACCAGTGAACTATGACTCAAGCAGCCCTCGAATCACGCGGTCGTAACCCCTTGCGAGAATTTCGGCCTCGTCAAATTTGAATGTGTGGCCGGAACCCGTCGAATGAGCCGCAACTTGGGAGCTAGCGTCATTTCTGCGCACCGCTGAAGCGTGTTCGGTCATTCGCGTTAGGAGCTGTCTTCCGGTTTCCCCAGCGTAGTCGTTTTGTCCGCAACTGCACCGGATCCGATAAACGACTCCAGACGTTTCTTGCTGTGGCAGCGGGTTTTTCGGTTTCATTAACTAAGCCTGATGGTGGCCTCCGATCTGTGTGCAACTAAGCCTGATGGTTGCCTCCGGTCTGTGTGCAACTCCAACGTTCTTGACATACGTAAGCGCTCACCAAAACTTGGTGTCCGTGCGGTTAGGCCTTTCGTCCTTTTTGCGTATTCACTAGTTGACGAAGTTGCGCGGGTAGCCATTGGCTTTGAAGACCCGTCGGAGGTATTGTAGTTCGGCAATCTTGTCTTCAAGCTCACTGCAGTGCGTTTCGACACGCCGATAGAGCGTCCTTACACAACTGCGTTTGTGACTGATTGGGTGGTTGCTGTTGAAGTTCAGTACTTGCATCGTATTTGTCGCTTTTCTGAACACGTTGGACTTTAGTCCGCCACAATCTTTGCGGCATACGAGAACATTCAGGAAAGCCAGCTGGTTGTTCTCTTCCTCCTCCATCGTAAATTGTATGTCCGGGAAAACCGCATTTGGATGTTCCTTGAATGTCAGCAGTTGATCCCGGTCGATAACGACGAAGGTATCATCTACATACCGGACCCAGAACTTCGGTCAGTTGTGCTGGAAGACCAGCGACTCTAACCGTTCCAGGACCACCTCGGAGATGAACCCCGAAATCGGCGAATCCATTGGTGTGCCCTTCACCTGTTCGTAGATTATCCCATCGAATGTGAAGCACGTCCTGAGAAAGAACTTCAGGAACTGAAGGACTTGGGCGTGTCCATGACGATTCTCCGTTTCATCGTATTTGCTTTGTAGAAGCAGCTCGATTGTCTCGATCGCCAGGTCCTGGGTAATAGAAGTAAAAAGGGATGTAACATCAAAAGATACCATGACCTCATTTGGATGGAGGCTTATCCCTTTGAGTTTCTCCAGGAATTGTGCTGACGAAGAGACCGGGGTGTCTGACTCAGCCGTCAGGAACTTGAGACGCCGGAACAGCCACTTAGCCAGTCCGTACGTTGGAGTACCTTTGAGCGACATGATGGGTTGGAGAGGATCACCGTCTTTGTGCACCTTAGGGAGGTCATAGAATCGGGCCAAAGCCGTATCTTGGGGTCTCGCCATGCGTCTGTCGGTCGGTGTTATTGCACCTGAGTTCTCCAAGGCCACCAACGTGGCATTAATTTCGCGTGTCAGCGCTTTTACAGGGTTCATTGCGCATGGGGCATAGAACTGTCGGTCCTGCAGTAACTCATTGGCTTGTTTAAAGTAGTCTGTCCTGTCCAGTACAAGCGTGCAGCGCCCCTTGTCCGCTGGCACGATGACCAGGTCTTTGTCGGCCTTGAGTTCTCTAAGCGCATCACGTTCGACCTTGGAAAGCACTTCCCGCGGCCTGTGGGGCATTAGCAGTGACGACACTTGGTGTCGGATGAGGCTCTTAGTCGCCTCCGTTGCCTCCGTCTGACTAAAGATTGATTTCACTGCTGCAATCATGTTAACAGGTCCGAACGCGAATGGCCGAACACGCTTCAGCGGTGCGGAGAAATGACGCTAGCTCTCAAGTTGCGCTCATTCGACGGGTTCCGGCCACACATTCAAATTTGACGAGGCCGAAATTCTCGCAAGGGGTTACAACTGCGTGAGTCGAGGGCTGCTTGAGTCATAGTTCACTGGTCCCCAGTCAACTAGCAAGTGCAATGACCTTCCGATTCCATACTCGGTGCTGAGACTTCGCCTAGGCAGAGTTATTGGCCACGCGGGAAGCGCACAGGTGAACACTTTTCCCAACACCAGGGTCAGTGCGTCAGATGGTCGAGCAATCATCACATCAACATTCAACGCACGTGATGAAATTGCAGCAATTAACGACGCGAATGTCGGCAATCACACCACGTGCAACGATCCCTGATGAAGGGGCGTGGCCGTGAATATTCATAGGTATGTGGTAGCATGGCGACTGCATCCTATAAATACTGCTGTCCCTCATGCACTGAACCACCCGTATCTGCTTTTGTCTCTGCTGATGGGTTCGAGCAGGAATCCGAAACGTCAGGCTAATAAATCTCTTGTCCAGTGATCGTGTTTCTTTCTTTAAGGGCAGACATCGTCGGTCAGTGCCACGCGTTAACTTGCTTTTTTAATGGGCGCGTTACTGATAGTCGACTTAGGCCGTCAAAGATACCACGGGAAGGCAACCTTATATGATTACTTGACAGACTGAGAATAGTAAGTAAATTAGACTGGAAAGCTGAAATTCTTAAACCTGCTCACCTGTGTCAGTCCGTTCTGATTTACCTTCGCTTCTTCCATCTCTCCTTGAGATTTCTGTACGCGGCCTCCAACTCGATGTGCCGGTTGATGCTCGATTCATCTGAGTGCATGGCCTCGAGGAACTCTCGGCCTTTCTTGGAGAGGCAGAATTTATAGACACATCAGGTGCACAAAAGTCTTCCGCTCCTGGCGCACACGCAGCGCTTGGAATCATGTGCTCTTCGCTTCCAGGTGGATGCAGTGTGCGCTTCTTCAACCCCGAGGCCAACTATTTACAGGCATCTCGAACTCGAAGCCATCCAATTAACTCATAGTGCTGACTTCCTGGCTCTCACTTGAGGCACACGCGACGCCATTCGCGACCATCTCGTCCTTGTACTGGAGAAAGCGCACAGACCTAGACAGGTCTACCTGTCGAGGACACGGATCACCATCAGGTTTCTATACAGAATTGACGATCGTGCTGATGTCTTCCCCGCCTTCTCTTAAACGGGACTGGACTCCGGAGTTTTGGTAGCCAGGGTATGCCATCACCTTGGCCCCTAAGAAGGCGCGCCTATCTCGATAGCCCATGTGACTACGGGACTGCTTAAGATGTCTGAAAGGTTAAAAGTTGTTTTATACTGAGGCAGACTTCTGTGCAGTATCCACGACACTCTCTCCTCTCCCACCCACCCTATTCTGATGGAACGACGGCGTTGAGAAGACGAGAGGCGGGCGCGGGCACGACGGCTGGCAAAGTTAAACAGTCCGTCTACGCGTGCCACACACGGTCTGTATCCACCACACTTTCAGGATTTCTGTGGGGACGGCTCGAATCTCGCATGCTTACGAGTGTCAAGAGGACCATACTACGAAGGAGTCATTTCAACCTGACTCTCATTCCTAAGGAGGACCGAGTTCCATCGTCAGTTGTCAACCTTCCAGAGTACGACTCTTA